TGAAATCATAGATGGACATTCAAAAAAGAAGGAGTAGTTCTCAGAAAGGCTGGTCTTTTAACTAGTATTGCCTTGTTATAGAACCCCAATCTTAAAGGACGACATAGGAATGAATAATAATCATTAACAGGCTCTGGTGCACAGTCGATGGGGAAGATGAGTGTAGGAGAAAGAAGGAGTAAATGGTGGTTGCTTGGTGGTGGTCATACGCTTTCCCTGTCTGATCGAACAACCCATCTAAAAGGCCGTAGTGATTTAAGACAGTAATCCAGGTTGTTCATGGGACTTTAGTTTCTGATCTGCTAAGACCGAGTTCACCCTCTGAGGAAGGTGTAGGCATTCTCATGTGGAATTTATTGGGAAACTTCTGGGACTCTGACTCTTCAGGAGGAGAAGGATCAGAATGCGTTAGGCAACAAACCCCTACAAACTAAGATCGATGAATGTGTTGGTTTTTCATGAAGGGAAGAGCTCAGGGGTGACTTGTTTTCCAGCGCATGAGTGATTCCCAGCCAGCACCCTGCTGGTCCCGCCCACTCAGGTGCCTACCTTCCTGCCCCTTCTTGCCTGTTTTGGTCAGTAAACATCCCGTGGGCCGTTCTCTCTGTTTCGTCATTGGCCCTCAGGACAGACATGCTTGCTCCTGGTGACTTTTCCACTCACCCTCATGGCTTTCTCTTGCACAGCCAGATGGACTCTGAACCCACACCCTAAGTTCAGCTCCACTTCTCTACCAGCTTACCGCATGTCTTGTTGTAACCCCAGTGTCCCTGCCCCCGCTCTCTCCTTCCCCTCCTGCTTCCTCCAGTCTGCGCTGATGTAAAGCTTTCTGATTATTGTTGCACGTTTCTCTCTTTTTTCTCAGTAGTTAACCATTTACAACATCAGGTTAAGTTTGGCTTAAAAAGTAGGTTTGATAGCATCACCTTGTTATTTCCATTGCCACTAGGCAAGTTATCACCTCAAGCATGAATTGTTGAAATACCTTTGTAACTGCAGGTCCCCTCTCCCCACTTCCCATCCCTCTTTATCCAGTCCGTATTCTATATTGTCTTCAGATTCAGTTTCCTAAAATTCTACTTCTGTGTCATTATTGTTACGCTCCTGGCTCCCTATTCCCTACAGAGTAGAGACTGTTTTTCAGCTAGGCGTCAGAGGTCCTGTGTAGTGTGACTCCAGCCTCTTTTTCAGAATGAATCTTTACAATTAATTCTCACTCTTCCCTTCTACCATGGAACTTTCCATCTGTCCTGTAACTTTATTAATGCTGTTCCACTTCCCCGGAAGGCCCTTTTCCTTGTAGCTCCTTTCTCTTTCCAAGTAGTCTCCAATTTTGAGGCTGAATTGAGTTCAACTCCTGCCTTCTCCGTGACGGAAGCCTCCCTTTGTCTGAGCCACTTCATCTCACATCCAGTGCTGATCCCTCTGTGCTCTCCCAGCACCTAATACACCATCACAGTGTGAATTTACTTGTTGATCGGCCCCGTGATGAACAACCGTTATCGAACCCCACTCTATGCCAGGTGTTGTGCCTAGGTGGGTGCTGAGATAGAAAGGCTATTTAGGATCTGGTTCCTTTTTTTAGGGCAGTCATCGTTCACTGGGGGAAGTAAACAGGCAAACTTGTGTAAGGATTGAGCTCCATGATGAGTCGTCCTTAAGAGAGTTGTGAACACAGAGCGGGCAGCACAGAAGCGCTCCCTGGGCACGGGGATCTGACATTTGAACTGAGGTTTAAAGCAAGAGTAGACATTTCTGAGTGGAGAAGGAGAGCCAGGCGTTCAGCCAGAAGAGACACGGGGAGGAGGGAGGAGAGTGAGAAGTGCAGTGTTCCCTGAGAGAGGAGAGGACGGATAGGGGGTGAAGGATGGTTATGTTTCCTTGATAGGAACATAACTTCATCAATATCGTTGTTGCTGTTGGGTGCCATCAAGTTGATTTTTGATCGACTCATAGTGACCCAATGTGACAGCGTAGAACTGCCCCATAGGGTTTCCTAGGATATAATCTTTACAGGAGCAGATTGTCATGGATTGAATTGCGTCCTCCAAAAATATGTGTATCTATTTGGCTAGGCCATGATTCCCAGTATTGTGTGATTGTCTACCATTTTGTCGTCTGATATGATTTTTCTATGTGTTGTAAATCCTACCTCTTTGATGTTAATGAGGTGGGATAGGCGGAAGTTATGTTAATGGGGCAGGACTTAGTTTACAAGATTGGAGTGTGTCTTGAGCCAATCTCTTTTGAGATATAAAAGAAGCCAGCAGAGATGCAGGGGGATCTCACACAACCAAGAAAACAGTGCCAGGAACAGAGCATGTCCTTTAGACCTGGGGTTCCTGCTCGGAGAAGCTCCTAGTCCAGGGGAAGATTGATGGACAAGGACTTTCCTCCAGAGCCAGAGAGAGAAAGCCTTCCCCTGGAGCTGATGCCCTGAGTTTGGACTTCTAGTCTACTAGACTGTGAGAAAATAAATTTCTCTTTGTTAAAGTCATCCGCTTGTGGTATTTCTGTTACAGCAGCGCTAGATCACTAAGACACAGATCGCCAGGTCTTTTCTCCCACAGAGCCCCTGGGTGGGTTCAAACTGCCTACCTTTTGGTTAACAGCCAGGTGCTTAACCATTGCATCACCAGGGTTCCTTTTGTCAGTATTACGTACAGTATATTAAGTGGCTTCTTGGGAAAAGAGGAGCAGTGGAGGGAGAGGAGCAGGAAGGAAGTGAATTAGGAGGTTATTGTAATAGAAATAAGCAGTAGAAATGGAGAAAAGACCCTACCGTATGTTCCTGTGTTGGTGTGAGTGTGTTTAGTTAACTCGACCAGATTATAAGCTTGAGAGCCACAATGTGTGTTTTATCTATTTATTGTCATAATACCCACAATACCTAGCATGTTACTGTGTCCTTAAAAGGTAATGAATGGATGTGTTAATGATATGGCTGTGCACTGTTTATCATCTTCCCACTAGACTCCAAACGTGTGAAAAGTAGTGCCTCGCTCTTTGTAGACACTGAATAATGTTGAACAGAACTGCATTTTTAGCATAAGATGTGACTGTAAAACTAGAAAAGAAAAAAATATGCAACAACATGCAAAAATATGCAAAAATATTTGCATGTGTCAAGTAGTTAAAAGTGTCATTGTGTGTCTGAATGAATGGAAGCCTCTCCGGGCTTGATTTTTTTTTTCCCCCCAGACAATTTTTACTTGTTCAAGAACTGGTTAGCCAGAAGTTGAGATTTTACAAGTCTCTTATTACTGCTTCCCTCCCACCCCTGCACCTTCTTGCATTTTGATCAATTACAAAGCATTTGGAGACACGTTTAAAGCTTGTTATCTCTTAATGTGGTTAGATTTCCAAGGGAAACCAAATAATATTTCTTTGTTAGCAGAAAGATACGGGGCTAAGGAGCCACTCTTGCTGGGGGCATCCACATTCTCTGAGGTAATTTTTTTTTTAATTGTACTTTAGATTAAGGTTTACAGAACAAACTAGCTTCTCATTAAACAGTTTAGTACACATACTGTTTGATGACATTGGTTAACCCCACGACATGTCAAAACTCCCCTTCTCAACCTTGGGTTCCCTATTGTCAGCTTTCTTGTCCCTTCCTGTCTTCTAGTCCTTGTCCCTGGGCTGTTGTGCCCATTTAGTCTCGTTTTTTATGGGCCCGTCTAATCTTTGGCTGAAGGGTGAGCCTCAGAAGTGACTGTGTTACTGAGCTAAAAGGGTGTCTGGGGGTCATACTCTCAGGGTTGCTCCAGTCTCTGTCAGGCCAGTAAGTCTGGTCATTTTTTGTGAGTTAGAATTTTGTTCTACATTTCTCTCCAGCTCTGTCTGGGACCCTCTATTGTGATCCCTGTCAGAGCAGTCAGTGGTGGTAGCTGGGCACCATCTAGTTGTACTGGACTCGGTCTGGTGGAGTCTGTGGTAGTTGTGGTCTGTTAGTCCTTGGACTAATCTTTCCTTGTAACTTTAGTTTTCTTCATTCTCCCTTGCTCCCGAAGGGGTGAGACCGGTGTCGTCTCTTAGATGGCCGCTCACGGGCTTTCAAGACTCCAGACACTACTCACCAAGGTAGAATGTAGAACATTGTCTTTATAAACTCTGATACCAAAAGTGAGCTAGATGTTCCCCAAGACCATGGTCCCCACAGCCCTTCGCCTAGCAATTCAGTCCCTCACGGAGTTTGGATGTGTCTGTGGAGCTTCCATGACCTTTTCTAGTACAGGTTGTGCTGGCTTCGCCAGTATTGTGTACTGTCTCACCTTCACCAAAGTTACCACTTATCTATTGTCTGTTTTTCCATACCCACTCCTCCCCTCCCTTGTAACCATCAAAGATTGTTTCTTTTTGTGTGTAAACCTTTTCATGAGTTTTTATAGTAGTGGTCTCATACAATATATGTCCTTTTGTGATTGACTTATTTCACTCAGCATAATACCCTCCAGATTCATCCATGTTGTGAGATGCTTCGTGATTCATCATTGTTCTTTCTCGTTGCGTAGTACTCCATTGTGTGTATGTACCATAGTTTGTTTATCCATTCATCTGTTGATGGGCACCTAGGTTGTTTCCATCTTTTTGCTGTTGTGAACAATGCTGCCACGAACATGGGTGTGCATATGTCTATTTGTGTGATGGCTCTTATTTCTCTAGGATATATTCCTAGGAGTGGGATTGCTGGATCATATGGTATGTGCTTGATTTCTGTGAAGGAAAAAAAACCTGAATATTTTTATGCTGTGTGGTTCAGGAAAATTCCCATAATGAAGGGTAGAAGAAAGCAAAGTTGCTTTAAAAAAAAAAAAAAAAAACCATTGCCCTTGAGTGGACTCTGACTCACAGTGACCTTATAGGACAGAGTAGAACTGCCCCATAGTGTTTCCAAGGCTGTCATCTTTACGGAAGCAGACTACCACCTGTTTCTTCCACAGAACAGCTGGGAGGTTCCATCTGCCAACCTTTTGGGTAGTAGCCGGGCACTTAACCAGCGTGGGCTCCTTCAGATGTTGCTTAGGTGGTTTAAATGATCTCCTCTTGATGTATTTTCTTTCTTGTTGCTTCCTCCAGATATCATATAAGCTACTTTAATCATGGGAGAAATAGAGCAGAGGCCGACTCCAGGGTCGCGACTGGGAGCCCCAGAGAATTCGGGGATCAGTACCTTGGAGCATGGACAGAAGCCGCCCCCAACACCTTCAGGAAAACTCATATCCATCAAAATCCAGATGCTGGATGACACCCAGGAGGCATTTGAAGTTCCAGTAAGTTGGGGATGTATCTGTGAACTCAGGTGGCAGGATGGGGCTGTGTACGCAGCACCTCCTTCCCCACTCAGTATCCTCGTCTAACCCATTCTGCTTCTGACCTATCTGACTTTTAGATTTATGCGTGAATTTTCTGTATAGTGCTGTCAGTGACCATGTGACTTGAATTTTACTGTGGCTTTCCATAGACATATATATATATGTATACGTGTATGAATGTGTTTTATATGTATTGGAGGAAAAAATGGCTTCGTGGGTGGATCCCAGTTTAATTGGCTTATCACAGTCAATTTCTTTCATATTGGCACGGTGTGCATGTGTGCGCATGCACACGTGTGTGCATGTACGTGTATGTGTGTGCACGTATGTGTGCATATGTATGCGTGCATGCACGTGTGTGCATGTACACGTGTGTATGTGTGTGCCTCTGTGCATGTACGTGTGTGTGTGTGTGTGTCCCTGCCTTTCTTCTCGAGGTCGCTGGCAAGCGCCATCCCGAGAAAACCATCAAAGTGCTGTGTGTGTGTTTCAGTATTGGGAGAGCGGGAGAGAAGTTGGCAACTGTGTTCTCAGCCCCTGTGGATGGGGCTTGGAGGGCATAGAGAAGCCCTCCTCAAAGCCCCCAGGTGGCTGCCCTGGAGATGAAGAGTCCCCCATCCCAGGGGCCAGGGAGGACGAACCAGGAGCCTTGGTGTCTGTGTCTCCAGCTCTTTCCCAGTGGGAGCCCTTTCCTTGGCCCTCGCTCCCCTCCCCCCTCTTCCCCATAGTTCTGCTTTTTTCCTCAGAGCCCCTGCTTCTTCATCCCCAGCCCTCCTTCTTCCTTCTTCCCAACCCCCTCCTTAAACAGACCTCCTGTTAGAGGTTATGGAAACACTCAAATGGAGGATTTCTTGTTCCCAAGGCAAGAGAGTAAGATGTGTGTGTCTGACTCTCTAGAATTATGATTGCACTTTACTCAAAAAAACTCAACCTCTCTTACATCAGGCTGGGATCTATAGATTTGTTAACATATTGTGGAGTTAGCGTTTTGTGGTCTGTGTTGAGAAGTTAAGCCCCATGTCCAACATTGTTTGTGGAGGAAGAAAATAACCCCTGAATTCCAAACAGCCCACTTATAAACAAACTTCAGGAACATAACACGTTTTTGAAACGGAGACATCTGCCTGTAATTCCTATCGGCTGGAAGGACTGGAATGTAATAGTTAGCATTAATGTTTGTAACCGGTCATTTAATCGTTGACGCGGTATGATTCAGTAAATTATATTTATTCCACAGAACGTCATTCGTAAAGTGAACTAACATCAAGTGTCTCAGGAAAGATATACCTCAGAACAAACCAGAAAACCAAACCTGGGGCCATCAAGTCGATTCTGACTCAGAGCGACCCTATAGGACAGAGTAGAACTGCCCCGTAGGGTTCCCAAGGGACAGCTGGTGGATTCGAACTGCTGACCTCTTGGTTAGCAGCCTGAGTACTCAAAGCTCCAACCTCAGAATAGCTATGTTCAAAACTGCCAGTTTACTGCACATTGCAGCTAACCTTTGTGTCTTTCTAATTTTCTTGTGGAATTCATATCTTTCAAGGCCAGGGGAGCGTCCTCCTTTGTTGATGAACAAAGCCGCTGCTCATCTGCTAGAGTGGTAAAAGGCACTGAGGAGAACACCTGCTTTCCAGTCATAATTAGACCTCTTGGAGTATGTTCTCCCTCCTCCCTCCTCCCGTTTTTTTACTCTTTGTTGCCAGACTGGTTCGGTGAGGTATTTGGTTTCCGTATTTCCTGTTTGGTGCTGTTGAGGACTGGTGAGCTGAAGTCTCCAGCAGCACATTCTGTTAAGTGGGGCTCCCGCGTGAGATTCGGACAGAGGAGTGATCATGGGCTGCAGTTGTGTGTTCTGACCACGGGGAGTGTTGTACTGTGTTCAGCTGCTCTTCCTTAGTTTCCCTAAGCCTCCAAATACCAAGACTCCATTCCCAGCTGCTGTTTAACTAGCAAGTATATAGGAACTCCCTGCCTGAGAAGTAGCAGTGCTTTCGTCTTTTAAAATTATTTTACTTGATAATTTCTGATTTCTCTCCTTTGTATTTGTAGTTCCTCTGCCTGGAAGGAAGTTTTCTCATTCCCCTGATAAATACCTAACCAGTGCTGTCTGGTTGACTCTGAGTTATGGCGACCCCATGTGTGTCAGAGTAGAGCTGTGCTCCATAGGGTTTGCAAGGGCTGATTTTTTGGAAGTAGATCTCTAGATCTTTCTTCTGAGGTGCCTCTGAGTGGACTCGAACTGCCAATCTTTCCATTAACAGCCAAGGGTCTAATTATTTGTGGTACCCAGGACTCTGATAAATGCCTAGACATCCTTTAAGGCCCCACTCAGCTGCCAGTTTTACCTCCGGCAGTGACTGAAGCTCTGTTTCCCTCCCTACAGAGCTCTTGAGTCGTATACTGTCAGGGTGGAGCCAGACTGCCTGGGTTCACATCCCAGCTTCTCCTACTGACCAGTTCACCCTGCAAAAAATATGTGACTTCTCTGTACCTCAATTTTGTCACCTGTAAAATGAGGTTAATAATTAGCCCTACCTCATACTCTTAAGAGAATAACAAGAGTTGATACAAATAAAGCGTTTGGAACAACTCTTGTTACCTAGTAAGAGCTTCATGTGTGCTTATGATCAGTGGTATTGATAGCTGAGCATTCCCCACTACACCGCTGCCCTCTCAGGGCAGGAACCTTGCCTTATTATCTCTGTCCCCGGCACCTAGCGCAGCGCTTGGCGTGTAACCAAAAACCAGACCCACTGCTGTCAAGTGGATTCCAACTCATAGAGACGCTGCAGGGCGGAGTAGAACTGCCCCATAGGGTTGCCAAGGCTGTAATCTTTATAAAAGCAGGCTACCACATCTCTCTCCCTTGGAGCGGCTCCTGGGTTCAAAGTACTGACCTTTTGGTTAGCAGCTGAGTGCTTAACTACTGTGCAACCAGGGCTCCGCTGGCAGGTGGTGGACGCTTATTAAATGTTTGCTGACTGAGTATTAGAACGAGTGTATTCTACAAGTAGAATCAATGTCATTGCTGTTTTTCATACGCCTCCTCCATTGATATTTTTACTGTTTGTTCAGAATGTTCTTTCCCAGCCATGGGCAACAGATGTTTTCCTTAACTAGCTGTAGAGAGCCAGGTCTCAGCATTTTTATGGATGGAGCTGGTTCTAAATCGCTACCTCGTGCTCTTTAAGAACAGAACCAGCCTGGCTGTGTCACACAGCTGGAAGGCATCAGGGCTGACCACAGCCCTGGGGATTGGAGAAGAGTGCTTCCAGCTTTGCAGACGGCCAGCTCTCCACGATGGCTTGAAAGCCTTTCCCCACATTTTTCACTGTCCACTCATCCAGTCCGAGGCTCTCACCCTGGAAGTGTCTTCCTCGCCCACACACGCTCGCTCCTTTGGTTGGACGCCATCAGCGAATGAAGTTGCATCACTCACTGGCATTTGCCACGCAGATGAGCAGGGCAGGAGGCCAGAAGTCACTGCTGCTGTCCTTAGGGAAAGCTCTTCTGTGAACTGTCTTTCCCTGGGGATTGGATTTCCTGGGCCTTACTGTTTTTGTTTTATAGTGTGGATGTAGGCAAACTAGTCATTTTGAATGCAAATTCCCTAAACACTTCTTGGCATAAATACCCAAACCATACTGTCAGGGTTGTCTCCCATCACTATTTATAGCCTCCTTTTAAAATTTTTTAGTGCCCTGGTAACCCAGTGGTTAAGAGCTCGGCTGCTAACAAAAGGTCAGCAGTTCGAATCCACCAGCAGCTCCTTGGAAATCCTGCGGGGCAGTTCTACTCTGTCCTGTAGGGTCGCTATGAGTCCGAATTGACTCGGCAGCAATGGGTTTTTTAACGGGTTTAAAAATCTTTTTTTTTGCAGTTTTAACCTTCGCGAAGGCCTTGGCAGGACCGCCGCGGTATTTTCCATTCTGTAGCTGGTTCCACAGTCACACCTTCGCTGGTGATTCGTCTGGCGGACTTGCATGTCTTTTTAGATTTTTCCTCTGCAGAGTAGAAAGCTCAAACATCCTATTCACAGCAAATTCTCTTAAAACATTTTATCCTCTTGGGGTGGAAAATGCTGTGTAAATAAGCCTCACTCTGTGATGTGTGCATCTATGCAACTTTCTCTTCCAACCAGAGATTATAAAGCTCAGTGGCTGCTGATGCTCTGAAAGAGTTAACAGCGCTTCCTTCCCACCAGGTCCATCACCTCTGAGGTTCCTGGAAGGTTTCCTCCCGTCCACATGAGCCTGCTGGTAAACAAACACTGTTCCTACTGACATTCGGGGAGGGGGGGTGAAGCAGATGGTCTCCTTCCCAGTGTTTGTTCAGTGTGTGTATTTCCGTTATCAGTGTCAAGACGGAGAAGAATGGGGAAAAGTAGAGGAAATAAAAGGTAGCCGTTTTTGCTGCTTGTTAGCAGCCCTGGTGGTGCAGTATAAGTGCTCGGCTGCTAACTGAAAAGTCGATGGTTCGAACCTGCCATCCTTTCTGCAGGAGGAAGATGTGGCAGTCTGCTTCTGTAAAGATCACAGCCTTGGAAACCCTATAGGGTTGCTGTGAGTTGGAATCGACTCGATGGCAGTGGGTTATTTTATTTTTGGTAAAAACACATGGGAAAGAGTCTGGCAAGTGACAGGAATCCACCTTGTCTCTGTTGAGGAGTTAGCCGGAGGGCCCATTGTAGGCAGCTGGATGGTGGCAGAAGCTGAGAAGCCCAATGGAAGCAGTGGCACAGAGTTGGTTGTGGCAGAAAAAGAAACAACATCGGTGATAGTCATCTCAGGAAATAATTATTGTGATTTTCTTGTATTTGCATATTGTCATTGCGTTATTCAGCAGCTTGTATTGCTCCCAGTTGCCTGAGGATAAAATATGGATTCCTTACTTTGGGGAGGATGGGAAGATGCCATGAGCATTCACTTATTGCTAAGATAACTTGGGCAGTTTTC